GGTTTACTTATGGAGTTCGCCTTGGGCCGAAAACTACAAGACCGCCCTGCTTGCCCAACCACTACTAATACACTCACCAGACTCCGCGTAACCTTCTGACAAACTAAATTCAGAAGTTGACTTCCTGGTGGTTCTCCGTCGATACCTTCGATTAGGTAAATTCTGTTGACCCATTAATTATTTTTCCCCTATATTGAAATTCTATTTGGTAATCTGAATTTAAGATTTTACTCCGTTAGAACCAAGGAGACCACTTTAGTGGGGATTTGCGTGTAAATTAAAATTTTGCTCCAGTTTTTATTGAAAAAAAAAATTCTTATGTTGGGAAACCTTGTTCTAAGCGTGCACTGGAACTTGATTTTTGGAGTGAAAAAGAATGGTGAAAGTGAAATTACTAGGTTACAGAATCAAAGGATTATAATAAAAGACTTAATTGTGAAGAAAGTGATGAATATTGACATTTCGAATTATTTTAATCTGATATTATTACCTAATCTGTTATAAAGTTCCAGACATTGGGGCGGATTGTAATTCATTTGCTGGGGTATTACATTTTGCGTGCAATGTGGTGTCCTTTGTGGCATCCTTTTACAATTTCTCGCTGTTGGTAAACTTCCCCTCTGGACAGTGGAATTTGTTGAGATAACTAGATGTGTGTTATTACTTTTATTATAGTGATCAAACCTTTGAAAGCTCATAAATGAATAATTTTACATTCTCCAAAATTCATTAGAAGTAGAATTCTAATATATTTGTTTGTTGTTTTATTATTAAATTTTAATTAGTGGCATGATTGGATTTAGGGGGCTTCAGGCCCAAAAACCATTTTTTTTTTTTTTTGTACAAAAATCATATATTAAAATTTTGTTTATTTATTGATATAACCCGACACGTGTGATATTTTCATCCACTTGAATTAATTGCTAAAACATGTACAAACATTTTTTCATCTTTCAAGTGACAAACGCTTTTTATCATCCTGAATTTCTAAAACGGTGGACTAATTGATCAAACACGACAATATTAACGTGACGAGTTACATCAAAACGTTAATCCCACGCTTGTCTTTTTTTTTCTGATAGTAAGATAGCTGAATAATATAGTTATATAACTGAAACAAGATTTAAACTTGGACAAGATAAATGCAATGATTCAAAGTTCATGGAGTATACATAAAGTTGAATAATATATATTAAACTTTTAAGGTAAGTTGTTACTTACGTTTTTGCTTTCAAGACTTTAGCCAAACGTCTCCTACTTTTAAGTAAGGTAAGTTTACTTTTTCCTCGTTGGGGGAATCAGTTTCTATAGCTTTAAGCATAAGCTACAGAAATTGGACCATTTCTATATACTTTCTTCATATATCTGTCATATCATAACACTCTCTCTCTAAAACACTCTCTCTTCTCTCTCTCTACAGCAAACATGCACAGACAGTCACTTGCCTGGACAGATTTAACATAATTAGGCTGCTTCAGTTTCTTTATTTTGTTTTTTAATGAAAAAGTTAACTCCTTGAAAATACGTAATATATTCTATTCATTGAGCAGAAGGCTTGGTGTGGTCAAACATTGGCCTAAGGTTCAAATTAATTCTGAGTTTTGACTTGCAGGTTCGTCCATGGTAATTGCTACCAAAATGCCATCACCTGGCTATTTCACAAGTTTCAAACACCTAATACCTTCCAGATCAAGGTTTCTGACCATCCATTTATCTGATTGCCTTAGCTGCATTGCGTTTTCCTTTGACAAATTTTCACTCTTGCATTTGGCATTTTCTCACGTGGGTTATACTTTTATGTTCAACAAAGTTATGTGATAGTGATGTTACACTGGTTCTCATCGAGATTTATTAAAAATAATAATACTGTTTGCGTGATGCCATGTCATTGGTTAGATCAAGATCTTAGATTCTATGTTTTTAAAGTGCATTCGTGCACGCATGTAAGCTAAAACCTCTGTTACAATTGTCTAGGAGGATGGCATGGTCTATCAGAAGTGCAGCTGATGGTGGTAGACTAAATTCTTCCACAAACGACACTGGTGGAACTAGGCTTGTTAGGGCCATGCAAGCTTTTCAAGTCAAGTTGAATGCTAGAATCAAGGAGCTGAGGAAAAATCTTCCTACAAAGTTACTGTTTTTCTTGGTGGGCTTCTATTGTGCGACTGCTTTCGCTACTGTAATAGGGCAAACGGGGGACTGGGACATTTTATCTGCTGCGTTAACTGTAGCTGTAGTGGAGGGGATTGGGGCTCTCATGTATAGGTCTTCTCTTCCCTTGGTGGATAACATAAGAAACTTGATCACCTTGTGCAATTATTGGAAAGCTGGCCTTTCTCTCGGTCTTTGCCTGGATTCATTCAAGTATTAAATGGGATATGGTAAGAGTGTGTATATTGAAGTCCTGCAAAGACGTATTCTCAATACTTTAAGTGGCTTCTCACTCTTCTAATTGCTCGAGCTAATGCATTACACATTGGAATCATAAGGACTTTATTGCTTCAATTGAGATTAACATGATATGTGCTTAGTGCTTCACGGTCTGCAAGGAACAATAGAAGTAAAGGATCACTATTGCGACTGCTGAAGAACAATCTGTATGATTTGTATGGTGCTAGAAGGACTGCAGCAACAGTTGGATTTATCCCTTAATAGCTTATCCCTTTTTTCATCAGATTTATCTTCACTTCTCCGAAGTTGGCCCCTGTCAACTATCTGATTAGGTTTTACCAGAGTTGGTGATATTGCAGATCTACCCGCGGACCTGGTCAGCTATTGGCACAAGTTCATGGCCGACATTCCCCTTGTGAGATACGGGCACTTTGAGATCGAGCATATATCTTCTAAAGGATTAATTGAGAAGTATACCAGTACAATCATCGGTTAGCAATTTTAGCTATAAAAAACAGCCATAGATGGTTCTGTAAGTGAAGGTTGGAAACAATCAGATGTCAAGTTCTTTCATCATTAGGAATGAATTGGCTTATTCGGAAAAGGGCTTGTTCTTTGGAAGATCTGTCTTGAACATGAAGATGTGTAGATCTCTTTCTGCTGCATGCTGGGTGCAAACCAAAATACCCAAGTAGAGCATTTCTTTCTGATCATCTACCGCTGGTGTACACAGTGAGTGGACAGATGATTCCTTCAAAAAGGAGATTTTGTTTTTGTACAGGCATAGGAAGAAAGAAAGGGAGTATGAAGATAATTCCACATTTTTTTTACTTTTGTATACACAGGGAAAAAGCAACAAGCATCCGCTGGTGGAATGGACTGCTGATAAACAATTATCATTGTAGAATTGTATTAATGGTATCTATAATTAACCATAATGGGTTAATTATGCCAATGATCATCAAATCCTTATTCATTATGCCAAGTCAACAAAAATTGAGAAATTAGAATTGGGGATTAAACACTTTGAGATAAGAAAATGTAATGCAACTTTAGTTTTGGTAAAATTTTTGATTAAATCATATGGTAAACTCGATTTCTCTATTCTTTTTAGCGACTAATTTTCCGTGTGTTAAATAACACTGAGATGTTGGCAATTAACATAACAGTGGATTTTAATGTTAATATTTTAAATTGAGTGATGTTAATGTAATATTTAAACGTTTGAGTGATTTACAGAAGAAATAACTTTTATGACCATTAGCGTAATTACTTGAAACTTTAAATACCACGAGTGTGTACATAATATTCGGTCATTTAACATATAAATCTTCATTTTGCTTTAGAGAAAAGTCTAATTTCAATCATTTATCAATAGATTTCAACCAAAACAAATTTCGAAAAGCTACATTGATTTAAAATGAACTTGTCGAATTAGGACAGAACTCCTTGGGCTGGGTGGAGTTGGTATGCAATAAACTGCCCTTAAAATCCTCATAAACAATTCTTCTTGTAGATGTAGGGGTCGCAATGGGTTAAGTTGAACTCAAGCTTAGTTCATTTCCACCAAGTAGGCTAGATTTGATCCTTTCGCTCATAGGTTGAGCAGGATCATTTTTGTTTATTTTTAAATAATAAAATAAGTCAAAATTGAGCCAAAAAAACTCGATGGCTCGTAAAACAAGGCGTCCAAACAAGTTTGAGTTGTTCTTGCAGTTGAACCAAGACGAGAAAGGCTTGGCCCTTTTGCCTGCCTTACCTTATTAAGCTTCCCATATCTTTTGTAAATCTATTCATAGTGGAATGTTTAGTACGTGGTATTATAATGTAAAATATTTAGCTATTTTCTCTTCTTTAATACTTTCACATTTTATTCAATTCATTTCATCAAACACATCAATAGACATTTTGTCTTAAGCATTATGACATAATGCACTCCCATGAGGACATGTTTGGCTATCTTTTCGCCTTCACTTATTGCGTGGATGTAGTAGTTTTCCGGTGGTCACTTGTGATTGTACTAATAATTGTGATTAAACTTCGTCGTCACTCTATCAATATCGAAATGTAAATAAATTTTATGATCAACATAATCATAAAAATACATCGTTGATTACGGTCTCTACAGACGAGCACGCATCTTTTCCTTGTTGTTGCATCCTCCATTTCTTTCCATGGTAATTATTTGAGGCTTGATCTGTCAACCAAGTCGAGCAAAAGAACCTTTATTCAGTTGCTAATGAAGAATCCTAATGCAAACTCAACTAGAAATTGCAAATATATACTAAATTTTAATTAAATAAATATAAAATATTAAAAACCATCTAAATAAGTGATCCATATTTCTCATGTTTGGGACTGCATCAATTTATGTTATGTAATAATTTTATTGGTCACAGGAAAATTATACATTTAAAATTATTAAAAGTGAGAACTGATTGTGCAAGTATTATCGTAATCATGATGAAACATCCAAATTTATTTAACGAATAATGCTATTCACAATCGCTCACTACGACAGTTGTTCTACGTGACATACACATGATCGGTGGTTATTTGATTATTACTTTTATTTAAATAGTTCCCAAATGAAGCTTCCCATTGAACATATGTAAAAAACATATTTAAACTTCTTGTTTGTTCCACATTTTTCCAACAAGAATGCATTTTAAACATCACATCATGGGTCCTGCCTTAGAATATTGAAGTCAAAAATTGTAGGCTGATTTGATGGAAAAAATGTATTATTTTCCCAAATAATGTGCACCAAATGGGGACTAAATATAATAGTATTTATGAATGATTTTTATATCACTGCAGCCCTAATTATTATGACTGTTGTATCCCTTATAATTTTAAATTTTTTCATATAAATATGGGGTTTTGGTTAGAAATAAAAATAAAAATTTATTGGCTTCTATTCTCTCTTTCGTTCTTTCTTTTTCTTTATCTAACTTATAATAAATTATTAGCACGATGTTCTAACCAATTGAGTTAGCGGAATTATTTCTATTTCTTCGAATCTTTAGCCAATTACGACATACTTTTATTTTTTCCTTCAATCAAAGAAAGACAAGGAATTCTAGCCATTAAGTTTACAAAGAAATTATTTTAATTTGCTCAAAGAAACTATTAGTATTATCTTAACTTTAAATTATGTAACAAAGATGTATAGTTATTCGATTTGATTATACCAATTTATAATAAATAAATATTTACATGAATGTAAATTATTTTCGTTCTATATTTCAATACAATATTTTCAGAAGAATATTGTATTATTGTTTTTGAAAAGAAAAAATCTAAATCAATATTCCAGAAAAATATTGTAGCATTATTTCAAAAGGAATATGATAGTTGTATTATTTTGTTGCTGCTGAAGAAGCACAAATTCACACATACAATATTTAAAATAATATATTATTATTATTCTTGAAAAAATATAATTTTTTTATATTATATTCTTGAATATAGTTTATTTCTAATTGTGCTTTCATGAAGAAACACAATTTACAATTTCATTAATATTCCCAAAGAATATTATTTAGACTTTGAAAGGAAAAATTATATTATTCTAATATTTCAGCTAATATTACTTGTCTCATAGTAACATGATATTACAATTTCAATATTTTAGAAGGATATTGATTCATTGCTCTTGAAGAAGTAAAAATTATTTTATTGTATGCATAGTAATTATATTTTTTATTTTGTATGAATATATGTTTGTATTAATAAATTATGAAATCAAGTCACGTTAATAAATTCAAGCTAATGTTTTATGTGAGTTTCATCTTTTCTCCTAGTTAATTTTCTATTTTTTCACTTATCGTTCGATTAATTATTTTGTTTCTATTCTTTTTAATACGAGTATAATTTATAAATTCAATACTCGTATTTCTGTCTATTATAAAATATTATTACTCCTGAAATAACACATTATTATTAATATTCTAGTTAGAATTTAAATACTCTAAAAGAGCATAATTAAGTAAAATCTAATATAAATTATGTTTTTAAGCCTGAAGAGTAAATTTTTATATAATTTATATTTTAAATAATAATATGTTATTACAATTGAAGAGCATGAAATTAAAATTTTAATATTACAGAAGAATATTGATATATTGCTCTTGAAGAAACCATAGTAAAATACAACGTGCTTTCGAAGTAGCACATGTTTCAATGAATATATTATTTTGAATTAGGTTTATTCCTAAAGAAAAGTATACAACTCATGTCATGTGGATATTGATTTTTATGTCATAGTTAATCATATTTTTTGAGAATTAACTTTGTCTTTTGTTTAATTGAATATTTATTCAAATGTCAAAATTAGAAGTTTAATTACTAAATGTGTTATTGTTTGGCATGACCGGTTGGATCATCATTGGATTAATAATGATGCGAAAATAGAGAATTCAAATGGACATTCAACAAAGAACTAGAAGATTCTTCAATCCAATGAGTTTCTATACGATATTTATTCTCTCTATTATCGATCATTAATCACCACTTGCTAAAATAGAGATTGAATTTTCTATATTTTTGAAAATTAATTAGGGTAATAAAAGGGGACTGTCACCTTCCATGTTGACTAATTAGATATTATTTGTATATAATAAATATAATATATCTACCAGATCATTGTATGGTATCAGAAACTTGAAGTTTGTGAAATTCCTGTTCAAAAGTTAAATTACGAGCATAATTTTCAAATTACACAATCTAAACAGTATGTCTTGTAAATCCTAGCGAGCCTAAATAGCAACATTTTAATATGTGTTAGTTGGGATGTCGATAAATAGTTTAACTAATTTGCTTGTTAAATGCCTTTAATTAATTTCATTGAAAACAAAGTACTTCCGATTCTTGTTTAACAAATTACTATTATATATGTATCATGCTAACCTTTCAAATTCTCTCCATTATAATTGGCTTATGGTTGGAGTCTGATTTCTTCATTTAATTATTTGATAGTGCAATATATATTATTAGTTCACCACATTGCATTGACATGGAAAGTGAGGAATAATGAGAATGAATGCATAGTTTGAATTTTTATACAATATCCCAAACCCTAACTGGTGATATTTTATAACACGATTTGCTGATTGTTGATTTGAATTAACAATTTTCTCAGCATCAAGGGAGGAATTAAAAAGTTAAAAGTATAAGTTCAAAAGATAATTTACTTAGATGCATTTGCTGACTAAAGAGATTAACAATATATCGTATACCAATTTTAAATGCTCCAACTCGAATTGACTCTTAGAAGGACGATTAGTTAATATTATATTCGATAAATTTATTGCACACTTGGAGCATGATAATATTCGATTCTGATACAAAAATCTCCAAATAAAAATGGAGCAATTAGTAAAAATGGTCCTATTGATGAGGCATATACTCTTTACGAGTATTTAGACATATCAAATTACAAAATTTCAGAAGAGGTTTAGGTACCTGATATATTGAAAACTGAAATATCTCTATAAATTATATTATTATATAATAAATAGAACCGAAAAAGAAAAAATTATCGATAATACTTTTACACTTGATGTACTATATCATATTATGAATAGTGAGGAATTGAAATAAATTCGTCGAAGCATATCGATCGAATAAATAATTGAAAGGCAATCCTAGAATATTGAATTTACTGAGAAACATGAAGTTCTGGATCTATAGTCAAAATACTTAAAAGTGTATACTTATGCAAATGAAAATAGAAAAAATAAAGTCATAATATGAAATGTACAACTCTTTGCATATGAATTTTGTGAAAGCTTGTATAAATATTTTAATTATCATGTGATGGATCTAATCATAAGTCTTTATTATATTAGTGATACAATGCATAGAATTTGATATGTATGTAATAAATTTGATATAGTCAACTCATCTGACATAGTTATTAATGTTACCTTGAAAGATTAATATTCTTGAAACATCTAATTCAAATGATATTATTACGAGGGGAGTAAATGCGCATTGTACTTAACCAAAGTTTTATTCTATTGGATTTTTCTAGCAAGGTTTTTAATGAAACAATTTTTGTAACGTATTTAAAAGAATTATGTACTATTTTTCCTATATTAGAATTTTTTCTATAGGATTTTTCCTCATAAGATGGTAACGAAACATATTCTTTGTGTAATAAATGTCCATAACATACAAGACATTTACCATTATAATAATTCTTATATGTATGAAACTCTTGAAAAAATTAACAAGAGTTATTTTTTGAACCATCATATTAATTTAATTATCAAGCTTAGTTCCACCGAATTTTCTTGAAGACATTGACGTATTCAATATTGAAGATATTAACATACAAGATATATTGCTTGATACAAGAATTGAGTTTAGGGGAAGTAACTGTATTGTCTTTCTATTGATCAAGTTTTATCCCAATGAATTTTTTTGACAAGGTTTTAAAGAGCAACATTTTATTACTTCAAATTATTTGTACTCTTTTTCATTGTTGACATTTTTGTCCCATTGAATTTTTTGCCAAACAATGTTTCAATGAGATAGTTATTATGTAAATAGTCATTCAAGGTAGAGTGTTGTGAATTTAGTAATATTTATAAATGACCTTTATAACCTGCAATACTAGTTATTATTGATTGTTGTATCTTTTGAAACCCTAATTCTTTCATATAAACATTGGGGGTTTGGTTCGTAATAAAACACATAAATTTATTAACTTCTCTTTTGTTCTTTCTTTCTTTCCCCCGTATATATTATGTAAATATATACACATGGGTATACACTGAATGATTTACTTAATTTATATCGCATTTTATATTAAAGGAAAACATCCAATTAATCTTTTAAATTGCATGTTTAATATTAAGTATTAAAAATTGCATATAGATTCACAAAAATGGTGATATTAAAGTAAAAAACCATAAATAAATAGGGGTAAATCACATCCAGAACTAGACATATTCTTACTTTCAAAATATGCTTATTTAACTTTCACAAAAACGGTTATTTATTTAAAATTGTTTTTTTATTTATCAGTAAATTCACTTAAAAGTGAATTTTAAACCTCAGCCGCCAAACTTTTCATAACCTTTTGAAGCTTTCGAACACAAACCATATTTTCAAACCCTTTTTATATTTTTGAGTGCTTTTCCAACCTATTTGGGTTATTGAACTTTGGATAGAAGACATTAAAAATGTTTGATTTAAAAATTAATATTGATTAAGTCTTGCTTTCAAAAATTATACTGATTAAGTCTTTTTTTCCATTAATTTAGGGAGAGAGAGTAAAAAATCATTAAATTACATGCCATACCATAATCATAGACTCTATTATCAACAAACAATGACTTATTTTAAATTTGAAATTTGAAATTCATAATGAGAAATGATAGTAATTTGATTCAATAATATATTTTATTACAAGAAAAGTGGAAATATGTAATAACTCTTAAATCAAAACTGAACAACACTAAGTAAAGAAATGAATAAATTAAAGCTTCAGATTCAAATCAAGACCCGATGCATCAGTTTGATCATTATTTGAATGCCCCGGTCGAAGTTCTTGATTATTAATATTGCTTTCCATTGCCTTAATTGGTGCTGTATTATCCATAGAATTAAGCCTTAAAACAAGAGCTGCACTGCCTCTTTCAGACTTTTCATGGCCAAATCCAGCATTCATTTGATGGTGCGTCAACAGCCTTTCATTCATAAAAAATGACCTAGACAACTTTTCATGGCTTGAAGAAAACCGTGGATTATATTGTTTATGAATCATGGAATCGGACCGAACCGAATCAACCGATCTATCCAAAGTGCCATAAAAAGGGATTATTTGGTGATGATTAGCAAAGTTGGAGTAAGGATGGTAAGGATACCGTGGGCGGCCTCCAGCCAAAAGAGGCGGCGGCGCAGCTACTTCCATTACTAGGCCATGTCGTTTCTTGGCCGATGCACGTTCTTGTTTATGGGCATTTTGATGCCCTCCGAGCGCTTGAGAAGTAGAAAATTCTCTCTTACAAAAGCTGCATGTAAATACTTTAGGTTTTAATCGTCGTCCCTCCTCATTTGATGACTCGTTTGCACGAAAAGAACCCGAATTAAAAAGCTCGAGATCTAACACAACACGAGAAGTAGATTCGTCTTCTACTTTCGATTCGGACCCTCGTTCCACAACTTTTTCCTTCATCTTCATGGCCTTGTCTAGGGTTTCCATCGCCACACAACTTATTTTTCTCACAAGTTTAAAAAAATTTACAAAGCCATGAACTTTATATAGGTATATAATTAATGCTAAATCACTTAAATATGGAAACATATCCCTTTCTTTAATCATTGGTTGGCGTTATATTTAGAAGATAACAATTTTATGCCTTATTATTATGCTATTATTATTCAAGTAAGATAGAGATTGAAGTGTTCAATTCATATTAAACAATTCCTTGTCTTGAAATAGTAAGCAGTCTGTCTCAATTAAGTTACAAAATGTCTAAACTACTCATCTAATTTAATTAATGATTTCTTATTTCTAAAATTCGGAATTATTGATAAACTAAAGTATAATTAGTTAATTGAAGGTGGTAAAAGAAGGGTAGTAGAGAAGAAGAAAACATAAATGGGTGGTCATAATCAATTTTTTTTTTTTTTTTTTTTAACTCTCTGACTTTAATTTATTGTTTTATTTTGCCTACTTTTTTCATTCACATTTTTATACTTAATATTTCATTACTTAGAATATTTTATCTTAATGACGATTTTTGTTTAAAAATTATGTTTGCATGCTTTAAAACTAGAGACAGACATTTAGTTCCAATTATATATATATATATATATATATATATTTTTTTTTTTTTGACTTGTTTAAAAATACGAGAGTCAAATAAGTCTTTTTACTACTTTTCGACATAAACTATCACTGGGGATGGGATGTTTTAATTAGTGGAAGGTTGAAAATAAAAAAATTCGACCATTAGTAAGCTCTGGTTTGTCACTCATTATTTTACATTCTACTACATTATTTTTTCTACAGTACTCATTTTTAATCACACATTTTTCATTAAAATAATATTACACATAAATCAAAAGCTTTTCCTTTTTTTATCCACACATTTTTCATCAATTTACTAAAATTCAAAGATTACTGAAAAATTTCTATAGAACATAAACTCTCTTGAAAGGGCAGTAATTATTGCTTTGTGTGAGTTTTTTCTTTAGAAAATTGAACAACAAAATATAGAAAACGAATTAGTATTTCTCCAAAATCCCTATCTATCAATCCGAAATTCTAAATTGTACACCTCGTGTTTTCGTAGACTTGAAAATAAGTTATAATTTCATTAGCGATAATTTGAATATGAATTATGGGATAATTGCAGCTGAGGCTCCAAACCTTTCAAAAAGTTTCAGACTTTTCCCTAGTCTTTCATTTGTTGCAGCCGTCACCCAAAACTTTCAAAACATTGCGGATGAAGCCCCAATGGATGGATTCCATCCATATTTCCATTAGTTGACAAAAAAATTGGACTTTGAGCACATTAATTAATTGTAAAAGAACAAAATGATAACCTTATATTTTTCACATTAAAAAACTTAAATAAAAAACAACCCAAAAAAAGAAGAAGAAGAAAACAAAATAAAAAGGAAAAAAAATCTTCTTCTCAACATTGTGACAGCTGCTTCATCTTCCTCTGTCGATGTTGTCACGTATTTAGAGGATGCCATGTTAGCAGACAGAGCTAAGCATAAAACTCTTTTGTTTGGCGAGAAATTCTACAGATCTAGCTCTCTTTTCAGGTTTTCATTGGTTGGGATGTAGAGGAGATGAGTGAAGATCTAAAAAATAATTCGCTTTAGTTGAAGTTGTGGTAGTGAAGAGGCAGGTAAATAGATGCTCTGGTTGCCGAAAGAAGGCAGGGTTGATCAGATTTCGATGCCGCTGCAATGAACTTTATTGCGCTGAACATCGATACACCGACCAGCACGATTGTAGTAATGACTACGCTCCTGTTTGGCCCCTATTTTGTGGAAATGAAAATCGATATAATAGTATTTTTTTTGAAAAATGAGTTGTTGCAAAAGAAACAAAAGTTTTTGACTTACATGTAATATTATTTTATAGAAGATTGTGTGGTTGAAAATAGGAGGGAGAAAAATGAAATGGAATGGAATGGAAATTAATTGGGGGGCCAAAAGGGGGCTACAAGGTTGTCGGTCGAGACATTGTAGCGAAGGAAAATCTGGTGGTAAAAGCAGCCAATATTGTAAAGATCTGAGCAACAAATTGATCGAATACTTCACATACATATATGCATAGTGGATTTTCGATTTTGGGTGGTGGTCGATTTTGGGCTAGGTGGTGGTGATGGTAGATTTCTGATTTTGGGTTAGGGTATGGAGGTGAGGAGAGGGAGAGGGAGAGGGGGATGGAGAATAAGAATTTTTTTTCTTTTTATTTTGTTTTCTTCCTTTTTTTGTTGTTTTTATTTAAGTTTTTTAATGTGAAAATTATAAGGTTACCACTTTGCCCTTTTATAATTAATTAATATGTGGTCAAAGTCCAATTTTTCTGTCAACTAATAGTAATATAGATGGAATCCATCCATTTGGGCTTCATCCGCAATGTTTTGAAAGGTTTGGAGTGATGGTTACAACAAATGTAAGATTAGAAAAAAATCTGTAACTTTTTAAAAGGTTTGAAGTCTCAGTTGCAATTATCCCATGAATTATTAACAAATTATGAACTTTACAACTCAACCTCCACGTGTGTCCTATTTACTAGTTAGGTACGACAATTGACATCGAAGGCGATGTTTGCAAACAAATTTATGGTAAGTTGTTAAGAGCTACTAAATCCAACCTAATTTTCTTAATGCTAATATTATCATTGAACAAGATACTAATATTAATTTCCTCATATATTATTTTTATCATTAAAAGAAATTATTAATACTTCATCCCAATATACCAATTTTGTGAACTTTTTCTTCAGCCCTACGTTGATATCCCTTACAAAGAAGATCCCTCTTTTTCAAGAGTAATGCTATTCGTATTGAAGATTACCAGTAATCGTTCCACGTGCTAGTAATAAGTGCACATGACGTGATAGCGCAAGTACAAGACCTTTTGAATGCACATTGAATATCACAAGTAAAATTAAATTAAAGTTTGACTTTGGAAACTGACTCGTAAGAATCTTAAAATGAAGTAAGCAAGCCAGTTCCATGACATCTGATGAAAATTTTCACATGTTAATTTGAACAATAATAGTCATACGCGTTTCTTGTGTTCTAAATACATGAATCATGATCAACATCTTCAAAATATCCATTCAAAATTGATCAAATATTTCGAACTAATTTACTAAGTAAAACTTGATTCACAGATCATTTATCAAACTAAAAATTAATCAAATTCACTTACTATAATCATAACAAATCTCAGCTAGCCATCCATTTTATCTAAATATTTTAACAATCAGTATGAACCCTATTTTCTCCACTCCACAAAGAAAAAGCAATTGAATGAAAAATAGCATTTTCCACTATAAAGTATAAAGACGTACCCCAATAATGAAAATCATGGAACTACCCTTGTCCTTGCCAAACATTTTCTTGTACTGAACCCAACTCGTCTATAATACTATTGCAGTAATCTTGCTAACATTTTCCCACGCTACATCTATAAAATGGTACCAATTCAATCCATTCATAATTCTTTGTACAATTATCTAGAATCTCTCAACCCACAATCCACCATTCCGGTTAACACCATGGTCCAAGGCATAAAGATCGTTGATGAAGTATTGGGACGGCTAACAGTCTTGATGATGGCTCGGTTTATAGGGCAAGGACTGGACCGCTCGAATTCAAGTTCATGGTTGATCGTGTCTTACCTCATGAGGACTTTGTAGATGGAATCACTATCAAAGACGTTGTTACTGTTGCAAATTCGGACCAAAAGGTACAAATATATCTACCTGAAAAGAATATTGAGGACTTTGACAAACTTCCTTTGTTACTTCAATTTCATGGTGGTGGATTTTGCATTAACCAAGCTGATTGGTACATGTACCACACTATTTTCACTAGTCTAGCACGTACAAATCGAGCCATAGTTGTTTCGGTCTATCTCTAATGTGCTCCTGAGCACCATCGCCTAGCCGCCTGTGATGATGGGTGTGTTGCACTCCTTTGGCTTTGCTTTTTAGAACAAGGCAAAGCCTATGAGCCTTGGACCCTGGCTCAATGACCGTACAAATTTTGGACGAGTTTTCATAGTAGGAGATAGCTCCAGTGGCAACATAGTACACTAGGTGGCGGATCGTGCTGGACATGAAAATTTGAGTCCCCTTAAACTGGGTTGCACGAATCCACCCCGGCATCGTCTGTTCACAATGGAGCAAATCGGAGTCGGAGCAAAACGGAATCACCCTTTCTAATTCTTGACATGGCGTGATAATTTTCTAAGTCAAGATCAAGTCCTAGTTGAATTGTATTAGGAGCTTATCGAGTTATAATCAAAGTTAAAATAATTAAAAATTGGTAGTATGGGTCCTGAATGAGTCCAAGATGTCAAAGATATCCAAGAAGAACAAACATGATCAAGAGAATGCAATTAAAAGTCTAAAGAGTGTCAAAAATCTCCACATGCTCCAAATTCTTACTGGCAACTTGCAATGCATTTTTCACATAGAAGACTTTCAAATTTGGAGAAATGCTATTTCTATAAAAATTGTAGTCCTTCAAGTTATCTTTCCAACATAGTTTGAATCACCTCAATCCGATATTGAGAGAGAAAATTAAGATGAAAATATTGACGATTGTTCAACTGCTGCTCGCCTAGCACTAGCTAGAGCTCGAGTGATAGATCAACATCCAGAATTTTATTTTGCTTCAAACACTAAATTTTCAATTCCTTTTTATCCAAACACCTTTCCCAATATATATCCTTCTCTATGAGCTTCTCAGAGTGTGTTGAATCATATTATTCCATTGAGATATTTACTTGAAGATTCAAAGCATCATTCCTTGATCTCCATATTCAACCACCATATCATTGTGTTCTAAAAAAATCTTTTTGAGCCAAGATACTTCTTTGAACCATACAATTTACTCCATTTAGGTTTAGAATAAGTTATGTGGGAAAATTTACCTTTTTATGAACTATGCAAGTTTGGGTAAGCAAATAACTGCTCAAGATGAAAATTCATGAAAAAAA